TCACCCGAAAGCATCAGAGCTATTGCTCGTAACCCAAATATTGATTTACAATCAATTGAAATATATTCAAAATCTGATATCCAACACCACATTAGAACACAACAATTCCAGGAATTATTAACACAAATGGACTTTATACCAAGACAATCAATTGACCAAAACTTACGCAAACTTGCCGAAACCGCAGGATTTGCAGATATCTATACACGAGATTATAGCGAAGAACATAATAACATAGAAGTAACGCCTACAGCACCACAGTTGCCACCCTTACCACATAGCCATCCATTATACTTAGTCCCACGTAATTTCCGAAACCTAGCAATAACACATAACCCAAATTTTAGACCAAACATATCGCAAAGTCCCATACAACATTTAATGACACATCAGTCACAAGATGATAATACATATGAACAAATTATAGAACAACCCCATACCACCGCTTTTCAGTCTCAAAATAATAATTCTTTTAGCCCACGATGAGCCGACAACTTGGATCCCTACACCGCTCAAATTCCCATCCAAACAACCTCAACACTCCAATCACAATAATCCCACTTTTTGCTTTCCCGCCACCCGATTTTCCAACTAGTAATATAACATCAAGCATGAATTCGGATACTAATTCAGATATTTTAGTTTTATACTCCATTTCACAACTCCATAACCCTAATATAGAAACCCCTGACGAATTTGCAGACTCCGAACCATCTCCATCCAATAATTTTCAAACCAACTCCTCAGTTTTTTCAAAGCCCCCTTTTCAACCAATCCCACCAAATAATCCACTCCCGCCCGTTTCTACTCCCTCTTATGCTTCACAATTAACCCCAACCTATTCTCCATTTCATTCCGACCGATCATCTAATTCTCCCGATACTCCCCAAATCTCCCAAGAACTTGATAATTTTATCACCCTACAACAACAGCTAATACACCCTAACACCCTCACAATTAATCAAATTTCATCCACAATAGAATCCTCAAACCCACCTACTCTTACACCCTCCTCAGCCTACACTGCATCATTAGCACAATCATCAACATCCACCGAATCATCAAATAGCACTAACCGAGCTTATCGCACTTTTAAAAGAAAATTCCCAAACCATCCATTCCCGACCAAACCAGGAACAGCCCGCGAATATATCAATCACCCGCAACATACAAACACGAAAAAATTCTTGCAATCACCTTACCCTCATTTCCGCAATATACATTAAACACACCTAACGATACGAAAGACACACGCAATTTTGTAGATGAATATGTTTTAATGCCAACACTTCATTGGACAGCTTATTATAATCTTACTAACCCCCTTTGCCTACCACTAATTAATACTCATGACAGCATAGAAAAGAACAAAGACATGTTATATAGACTCACCACAACACTAACACCTCGACAATTTACTTACGTTGGATATAAAAAAAATTACTAAAAACATTCACTGCACCCCGAGCTAACGAATTTACACTAGAATATTACGACCATAATATCATCCGAACTAATCAAGACCAATTTCTAGATGACGACCACTTCGCTAACCCACAACTAACAGAAAAATTCTTCATCAAAACGTCATATGTATTCACACTCAATATTTTTGGTAGAAAATATGATCACATCATTTCTGAAGCACTAACTGATATGCAAGCTTACGAAAGTTTTAAAGAAAAATTTTTCACTTGCCTTTCACTTCCTTGCACCACAAGAACGCGATTTGCATTGTTCACATGACATTATGTTACGCACTAAACAAACTCACACATATACATACTATCGCTTCATACAAAATCATTTTGATCTACATACTCCATCAAGACAACCACACCACCGTTTTCAGTTTCTTAACTCGAAGTACACTTCACCATTTTTTCTAAATTTCACCTATTGCATCATAGATACTAACCTCCACGGCATCCTCCGCAATTATGACCCAATAACACAAATGTATATATTTTGTCCCATCACGAAGACCTTTAATGCTGAAGAATCCAGACCCTTCCTTATCCCACATGAATTTATCCAACCTATAGAAATCCCTATATTAGAATTTATTCACAATACTAAATACAATCACAAAATATATAATCTCATTCAAAACACACCTTATGAGTTTGCAGTAGGCACCGAAGAACTAAAAACTATTAAAGCACTTCAATTGCTTTGGCCACTGCTTCAAACTAAAAACATCATTCGCATACTAGCAAAGTTACTAACAAATTCAGACATGATACACGACATCTTCCCCCACGGTTTTTTCCCAGACGATTAACAGGTAAGTATAATTTCAAATATTCTTTACTAATAAATTTAAATTAATACTAACCATTCTTTACTCATGTTTCTTTTAGATTTTTAGTCTTCATACCACGATCATCTGCAAAAAACAGAAAAGAAAAATAAAAAATAAAAACTTGTTAAAATTATTCTAACTTCATTAATATTTTCCACAAAATAATCTGATAAAATTTATACCAAATGTAGTAAATTAATTTATAAATTATTCCCCCATAAAGCAGTAAATTTAAATATGATGAAAATTTATAACTTTAAATTTCCCCCAAAACTAGCAGTAAAATTGAAATTCTATGTAATAAATTAATAAAATAAAAATGCAGTACTAACTTTTTGATGTTTTCATTCACTCGCACAAGAATTCTATCCAAACTCGCACAGCTCGCCCACGAAGAATTGTTTAAATAATGAATTTCAGTTTCAAGTTTTCACACTCAACAACTCTAACACACGATAACAAGTTTCAAACTTTGCTTTAACCCGGTTGGAAAGGAATTATATACTAAAACAAACTAACCAACGCAGCTTACTAAACACCACAAATCATAAAATAACAGCATGAATAAGAAAAGAAAACCAACGGTACCCAAACCGGATTAACCCAGTTTAAAACTGGATAATTTATTCTTTTGAAGACTATTATAAAGTTTAAGAAAGAAATAATAAAACACAAAAAAGTCGAAAGACAAACCCATAACAAAAACAATTTGATTTTTGAAAAAAGGACACAACCAAAAGAACATAAGAAAGACCAACATAAAACCAACATAAAACGTTATCACATAACAGGACCTCTCAAAGAAACCGCACGAAATCATACTCCCACTCCTGGCCTAACCCAACAGAGAGGACGTCCTGAGCATGCTCTATAGCCGGCCTAACCCACCGCGCTACATCCACGCTTTGTGACCACACTTCTATTTTTAATAAAAGGTACTCAAGGGTGAGTAACTCTTCAAAATAACCGAACTAAAACAAAATGCTTTTGTGAAAACAACTAATTAAATTCATAATTAAAAAACTGAACTAACAAAAATTTTATACAATGTAAATCATACCTTGCAGCATATAGATCAGCACACAACAACAAAGACGAACATCCAAAGACAAAATGACCCCACTACACTCGAACAAGAATGGCTAACCACAACCGATATGCCGTCCACAATCACAACTCAAAGGATTTAGAGTACGACTTGACTTCGCAGAAAAGGACTTCATTGAACTAGACCAATGACCACCTCGATGTTCAAGTATACGTACAGATCCGAGTTACAAGGCATCCCCTCCACGCACAATCTCCACGCCATTCCCAGACGAGGTTGAACACAAAACAAGTTCTCTACATAATACAGAAAAACCCGTCATAGCAAACCATTTTGAAGTCAGATTGATTTCGTTGGGAAACGCAGTCGTTGTCACAAGAAGATACAACGATTGATGCCCCTAACTCCAGCGTCCTGGAACTTCTCTAACAAGAAGAACCGGACAAGAATACGATGTTCGCCCAATGCCAACGTTCATCATCAATCCTTTGAATTGCAGAAAGATATTTCTAAAAAACTCTGTAAAACCCGGATGGGTGGAAACTGATCCAAACTACATTTTATGATTGGATAAATTAGATATTTTACCACTGTAAAGTATTTAATATTAACCAATCATGATCCATCTAACTAACAACCCACTTATTTGTAAGTGCTGAAATTATTTGTAATTTCAGCACCAGAGAGATTTGAATTTAACTTAGAAATTAGTTGTCTCTCCAAGAGAACTTCAGCAGCCGCAACAAACCAGTATACCCTAGATCTATTGAGCCTAGCAGAGACTAGTTAAACACCCTGAGACTAGAAAGTATAAGAGTAAGATTAGGATCGGTATTAGACTAAGAAGTTGCACGAATCTATCCGGCCGAAAATAAGATAGCGTGACGAGCAGACGGTGTACCTTATCCGAAATTACTCTATGAGTTAACCACATCGGTCCTAACTCATTTTACCGGTGTTTAAGCAATGTTCAGTTTTCGTAGTTAAATGCCTGTCTGATTGATGTTCTTCGAGCTGGCATATTTTGCTTTCTAGTTTTTGATAAGCTCACAGTTTTTGCTCTTAGTATTTATTGTCTCTACTGTATTTTTTTGTGGAGGCTGCCAGTGGATTTTTTCGGCGACAATAGTAACTTGCATTTAACATCGAATCGAACTTTTTACTAATTCAACGGATTTTTGACATGTATTTAGCAATTTTTTCTTGCTTCAAGAGTCCAGTACGGCGGTGACACTAACTGCTAACTTTGAAAAATATTGATCTCTAAAGCCTTCATTTTATGTTGAGGTGGGATGTGTCTAGATGGTTTTGGAGTAATTTGTAGTGGCTTAATTTCGATGTGTTGGTTGGAGGATTGAAATATAAAAATTTTCTACGAAAATAAAGTTTCGCCGCACGCCATTTTTTCCAGTGTAATTTCTGGTGCGTCAGGTAATTTTTATTCACTGCTGCATTTCAAACTTTACTAAATTATAAACCATAGATATTTGGCGATTCTACAGCTAGCAGATTTCTACCTAACCTCGTGAGTTGTTTTATGTTTTTTTTTAATTTCGCAAAGAGCGTTGATAAGTCTACGCTGCCTGTGATATAACCCTCTTCTATTTTTTGGAATTTAAAAACTAAATGGGTTTTCACTGTTTTGAGCATGAACACACTGCTTCGCAATGCGTGGAGCATGAAGTGTTTCTTCTCGTTCATCAGTGACTCAGTGCCAATCTGTGGACTAAGACGCCTGCCCTACATTTCCATAGGTAAGCAAGGCATGATCTTGCCTATCCTTAAAGTTTCGTTTGTTCCAACCCAAGATTTAGAAGCAGCTTTCGATTCAGGTCTGTTGTTTTTTAACATTGCTTGCGATTCAGAAAATGTCATTTCGAACAGTGTTGATGATTTTTTCTCCGATAGTTTCACAGGTGCGCAAAAAAAACGAGAATAGCTGGTTGCTGTGCAAACAAGTATCATAGAAGGTTCCGACAACAGTTATTCTTGGAAAAATTTTTGAAAGATGAGTTTTTATTGTTTTTCAGGTGGGGACTCAAACTCCAAACGGTTTTATTTGCGAATAACAAAAAATAGCATTTTTATCCGATGCATAGTGAATCATCATTTAGTGTGATTCTGTCTCTCTATACCCGGGATGACCAAAAATACTAGTCATACAATTTCCATATATGGAAAAATGCTAGTCATACACTTTCCATACAATTCCATACGTACAGAAAATTGCAAGAAAGGTCTATGATTAGTATTTTTTCATATATGCAAATTGTATGACCAGCATTTATCCATAAACCAAAAATATTGATTGTGTTTTGGTTGTGTTCGTAACAGAACACAAATGACATAAACCTTGACTACTCAAACGTAGTAACCAACGGTTTGGCCGTCTCGCATTAAAATGAAACAGCCTGATATGTGTTACTTCTGTTTCAGACAAATAATATAACGAAAGTAATGAACTTATAAATTTTGGCAATAATTTTTAAAGATGATTATTTCTAAAATTTGAATTTTTAAATTACCAGACATTGATCAAGGCATACAAAAACATGTCATACAAAAGAAAGAGGAGTTTAAAGCGTTTTTGAAAAAAGTTATGAAGAGAAAAGGAAAAAAAAATCCAATATTAGTATATCCCAGGACTACGTTATATACACAAAAAATTCGATGCCAAAACAACTATAAAATACCTTTGAAATACGATTAAACTCATTTTGCAAAAAAGTATGAAATTTGTATGACTAGCATTTTTCCACAGACTAAGTGTATGAAATTGTATGATTATCATTTTCGGTCTATGGAGGTCAACCCGGGTATTCGTTCAAATAGCAAACGTTTGAACCAGATTTTTCACGACACTGAGAAAATGAATGGGAAAAGTTTAAAGATCGTTGGAGAAACGAATTTAAAAACTTGAATATGATGTCTCACGCGACCCTGACATTTGATTTTGCGCAAAAAAATTAAAACGCAGCCGAATACAAAGTTTCTTCCCACCTCGCAGTCGGATTAAAACAATTTAATTTTTCAAAAATTTATTTATTCAGCTACCCTTTTTGCATTAGTTGGTATATCATAACGAAAAGGGACTAGCTGAGCATTCGCGCTCTTAACTCGTTATGGTAGTCTGGATAATTTTCATCAGACTAGTACTTGTAAGATCTGCGAAGGTAAGATTTAATGAACTGTAACCCTGTAACAGGTTTATGCATCATCTTCCTATCCAGCTGCATCATGTTTTTACTCCCGATGCCCGAACCCTATTTTGACTCATACACCGAAATTGACTCGAATGGAAACTCAAACTGCTCGCGTGACTTGAACGTAATCAGAAACCCCGACGCGCCCAATTCTGCTTTACCGTATGCAATTTTATTCGGAATTGCTTACACCTGTATGGCTTGGTCTGACTGTTGCATTGATGGACTTATAACACAGAAGTCCATGCTTGAGGAAGAGTCAAAGCGTGGACGATTTTTAACGGCCATCAAAATAGTAGAGAAGTTGGCCGCTGCTTTTTTCGCCATGTTCTTCGCAACTTTCTACAACAAAGTGGACTATGGCGGACGCTTTTGTACATTTGGTCTGGAGTTCAACCAAATATCGTTGGTTGTGTCAGTGGGATGTATAGTGACTCTGATTTACACCATTATCTTCACAAATGAGAGAGATATTGATACTGCAGATAAGCATGTTGGGTTCAAGGATAACTTCTCTAGTTTCTGGGAGTTCCTGCAGACGACGCACTTTCTGAAGCTACTTGCATACAGAATGTTTGTATCTATTCTCTTTGGGTTTTCGGTGAGCAAATAACTTCATATCAGAGGCATTACTGACCATTTTCTCCTATTTTTTTTCACCTTGGTAGAGCTCTTAGAACCTTATTTTAAGTCTCAAGGCAAATTGGTTTTTCACTGGCGATAAAAACATAGTTTACAAATTAGAGTGTGTAGCTTCCCATAGCACATATACAATTGTTCTCATGTAGGGGAAATCAGTGGTGAAAAGTAGGTACAACTGTAACAGCTCAAGACAATGAGTTTCAGACTCCGGCTAAGAGCAAAGTGGAGATCCGGTGGGTTGGAGTGGAACCCCTGGTCAAGGGATACCAGAGTGTATTGATCAACCTTCTCAGTGCGCTCGGAATGTATATCTTCAGGCGCTTCTTCATCAACTCCAACTGGCGCAAACTAATTGCCATTCTGACCATGATCGAAATCGGATTGAGAGGCGGAACTGAAACGTTGGCTCTATTCGGAGTGATTCGGAATCAGTTCCTATGGTATGCGGATGACCTGGTCTTCGGTTTATTTCATATGTGGATCTTCTTCACTAGTTCATTAATCGTCATCGAGTATGCTCCTCAGAACTTGGAGGGAACCTCGTTTGCAGTCATGTGGTCTGTTGCCGCTTGTTCAGGAGCTATAGGTAAACGGATGTTTTCTTCATTTGTAGCTTAGTATGGCTATGGGTTAGCGAGGGATGGGCCAAACTCGTTATTCGAATTGCACAGCTTCTAATGACAAACCTACGATGAGCTTTTGCCTAGTTACATCCATATTACTTTTTTCCAGTTTTTTTTTCTGTGCTAGAAATCAGTTTTTCGGTCTTAGTTTTAAAATCTTGTTTTGTGCATATTCGGAAATGCTCTCTGCATGCGAGGCATAAGAGTTTATTCATTGTTGTTCATAAATTGTTTTTTTTTTCATTTAGTTATTTATAGTAAAATATTGAAGTTAACTAAAGCTAGTAGTTTTGGCTAGGCATTTTCTTAGCACGCATACATGCTTTCGCCTGGCAAAGATACCGCAATGACCCTAATATGATTTTGCTTGAAAGGTGATTTGCTTTTGGGTTGAGAAAAAAGAATCAGATCTCAAATAAAAACAAGGAGAGCCAGTTGCTGTCCAAGTAGTACAGAATGTTCCGACCAGATCCTCAGAAAAAAAAAATTTTTCTTCTAAATTGTGTCTTTATTTGTGCGGTGTGTATAAAAGAACTATACGAACGCGGAAAAAGTTAGTGAACTAGGCCTAACGACTACATATGTCTTCAAACAATAAATAAACGAAAAAAAAAATGAAACCATTTTTCAAAAAAAACTCAATTTTTTGCATTGAAGTTTAGAAAAAACTCTGAAAATGTTTTTTGTTTACCAGAGAAGCACTAACTGAAGCTTCCAAAACTAGTTTTCCTTGTAGTAAGATCAAGTTTTTAGCTGAAATTTTGTAACGAACATATATAACATATATAATTTTCTTATATAACCAACGTTACTCGAAATTTGACTAAAACTCAAAAACTTTAAATTTGTTTCTCTCAATACTGGGAAAAAATTTTTATGTCGTTCGACTGAAAGGCTCTAATTTTTTTATATTACTAGAACCAGCAATCCGTTGATTGTTTGTTGTACCTGTTTTTGTGTGGGATCTTCAAAAAAACCAAAACACCCGAGTGTTCAAAGATCGGAACAGAAAACCTTTAGTTGCAATTTTTAAGTTAAACTTGTTTTTTACTAATTCCAGCAAAATGCTCTGTTGATGGCTTGTAGCAGCCAAGCGTTTTCTAGCGACGATGCAGTCGAACGAACAGTTTTGGTTAATGATGCAGGCAATTATATTGTGCCCAAAATACCAGTGCTTTCTTTTTTTTTCGCATTGAACTCGTCGTGGGTTTATTCACATTTGTTGACCTAGCTCACTCTATGTTCTCCTCTCTTTTTTTTAAACCAGAGCCTTCGTAAAACCCATAGAACAGGATATAGGAATTATCGAACAGTATACCAAACTTGGCCCATGAACAACGTGATGATTCGTTTTTAGTTCACTGAGCATTTTGGGGCTCGAAATCAAGAATAGTTTACAGCTATTATTTAAAAAAATATTTTGTAGAAGTATACCCATTGAAGATGCGTTTATACCTAAAATGTTCTAAAGAGAGCGTAAAAAACTAACCTAAATTCTCTAAAAACCTAACCTAAATTCTCTAACCTAAATTCACTCCATACGGTTGACCTTGACACCATACCATTACAAAATAATAATTAATACGTAATCATATGTCACTCATTATACATCACCACACTTCCCTTGCATCAATTCAGAAAGTATGGTTTTTAATTTTACAGCTCTATTAATAAATGTACTTAGTTTTAGGTGTTTTGAGAGTTCAATAGTCTCCCAACCCTTTTTCCCTCTTTCGGGGTAAGTGAAAGTTTTTTGCAGGTCGCTTACAGGCTTTCTATTTCTTCTAAAATCTGACGGTGATCTTCCTCTGTCATGTTGATTGCTAATAACTCGTCAGAAAAATCCAGATCATCTGTTACTATCGGACCGCTGGAGTCTCTGCTTATGTTCGCAATGTCAGCAGTCCCATAACAGTATCGATTAGCCCTTTTGTTTCCGCAGTTGAGTGCTTCGCAACCGGTGGGGAGCTGACCACCCTTACCGCCGGTGACGTAGCGCTTGATTTGGCTGATAAGAGTGCCGGAGGCATGTCTCCCGTCTCAATAGCGAGCCCTGCTTTTTCTCAGGAGTATTTGGACGCGTGCCAAACTTGATGCTTCGGGCACTCTCAGTTTGACCATTGATATCTTTCCCTGCCAGTACACGCAATAATACTTCCTTAACCGCGGCGTTTATGGCTTCTCGAGTGCGCTGAATCTCGGCCTGCACCACATCGACCAGTTTGCCGAGTCTTTCTTCTGTTTCTAATGCGTACTTCGAGACCTTAATAGACGAAAATAGACGAAATCTATCATTGAATGCTTGTTGATGCGGCTTTTTCAAAACCCTCCAAAAAGTGCCCGGATAACGCAGTATCAAATCCACTAATGTCGTCCTGTACATAGTCAGCCCCAAAAAACGACACATTTCATGGTCGAAGTATGTGTCTTCAGCGTTACGTTTTTTAGGGCTCGGGATCTTCGTTCGTATACCCCTTTCCTTCTGTATTTGTCCCCGGTCACGACTATGACAAGATCCGCTGGGGTGGTTGGCTATGTTGAGAATTTATTTCGGGGTCCTCAGTTTCTCGCAAATTTCCTCTTCATCTGAACTGTCCTTCGCCTGTACTACATTTACCGTTGCGGTCTCCGAGGAAATGAGACTGGTGAAAAATCGTTCCCACAAGAACTTGGGGGTTTTCGATCACGTAGTGGCCGGGTATTTTGCCTCACTGCTCCTCTCGGCGTTTGAACCTGCGGGCTACTCGAGTCTCTCAGATCCGTCGGCACGACTATGGGCAGTGACGCGAGGCCTTTGATTTTCATTGGCTCTGACCTTTCGGCCTGTTCGGGCCGCTTGTGGAGACTTACTGATCTCTCCTGAACGTCCATTCCTGAGGTTTCGTATGGCGTGGGGAAAACTTCCTCCGCTTCCTCCGTTGACAAAATTATAATGGACTGCCTTGCTCCTTTACCCTTGCGCTGAAATCTACTTTAACTCCACTGTTTTCTTCGGAACTCGAGAAAGGGACGATTCCCTTAGTCTTTGTTGACTGTGCGACGTTTTGACGCGAAACCGACACTGAACAACTGGGCGCAGAGTTAGCACTTATGTCCAAGTTTTCACTGGGCTTTTTAAGAACATTAGCCCCTCCGACGAGCTGTCAATCCAAATTGGATTGTCTACTGACCAAGACTTTTTGACCCCCCTATTCTTATCCTCGACTCCCGAGTCGGGAGCAGCTTGGGAAGTCGTTTCCGATTCGAACAAAGCGGCTCTTTTTCTGGGATCTTCAAGGCTACTTGCTCGTCGGTTGTTCGAGTCGGTCAACTGTGTGCTGGGTGTTTTCGAAGCCGGCTGTGTCGCTTGTGCCGGTTCTAACGATTTTTCACTTAAACTATCGAAATATCAGATTTATGAATCACCTTCCCGGAATCAAATGTGATCGTATGCTCAGTCTCTCGCACAATTTTTTCCGACAAAGGTTCAAAATAAGGTTTCGATTTTGACCGATCTTGTTTTTTTATTCGATAGAGCTGGTAATCTTTTTTCTGACCACTCAAGATAGGTGCTTTGTTTGGGGTTTCCTGACTGGGCCATGCACCATCCTCTTTTGAGTCGCCACCAAATGTTCAATCCGGTCGTAAGTTCTCATCATTTTAGTATTGTCGGCAAGGTATAATTTTGCATCACCTGGCTCGGGAATTTTTTCTTGTTTGTTTCTAAGTTTTTGACAGAAGCCGTTTTAGCATCCGTGTGCCAGATTGTATTTGGTTTGTGACCAAAATGTGCCTCAAACGGCGAACAGCCCATTGACTGATGAGTTTTTTTGCAATTTTTATACAAAATTTCAGTGAACACTGTTTCGAGAGCCTCTCTAGATGTTTGGAAAGAAGGCGCCATAAAGCGTTCTCTAATAGTTCTGATACATCATTCGACAAGACCGGTTTCCCGGTGTTTTTTACAGGCGCAAACATCACTAGAATGTTATTGTAAAAATCCCGAATAGACTTGCAAATGAAGCCCGATCCTTGGTCAGTCCAAATGAACGACGGTATGGCGTGTAGCGCAATAAAGCTTTCAAAGAAGTCCTTAAAATCGCCAGCAGTGGTTCGGATAGTAACTTGAAGTGACTTAAACTTAGAGAATCGATCTACACAGATGAGATAATACTTATTAGCTGCCAAACCGCCGGTAACCGCCCTAGGAAGTCCAAATGAATCTCCTGATTCGATTCCTCTAAAAAGTGAAGAGGCACACCATCTCCCTCGGGAATAACTGATTTGAGATTCTTACCGGATTTTTTATGCACTCTCGAAATATTGCCGCCGTCAACTGTATTTGCCGGTTCACGTGAGGCCATCAAAAACAATCATTGGCTACGTGCCCGAATGACCTTTATGTAGGCGCATCCTTATTGGAGCCCGCAACTGTGGAAGCATCACCATCTTGTCGTCGAGAAAAAGAATGCCGTTGGATAAAAATAAATTACCAAGATAATTGGCAAAGTATTGGCCCAAGTACCGAATCTGACTGTAATTGCTTGATTGTAAAGCTTCAATAATACAACTCAAAATTTCAACCGCCTTCGTAAGTATACCTACAAATTCGGCGTCGAAAAACTCTAGTCATTTAAACAGGGTAGACGGAAACATTTCTGGTCGGATAACAGAAGTTTCAGCCGACGGCTGTTTTGAAGAAGTAGTCCCGTGGACATTGATAACTGGCAATTTTTCGGGTATCCTGCCCTTCATCAGATTTAACAAGAGTATTCATCCTTAATGGATTTACTAGCAAACAGTTTTTGCGTTACTCTGTGCGCTTGTGACCAACAAAGCAAACTTTAAACAAATGACAATATTGAAACGCGTTAAAGAGTTTCTGCGCTTTGATTTCCTTCCGATGACGCAATTCTCGGTCAAAATTTGTATACTCGATTATTTCATTAATTGGAAAATTTGCCGCCGTATTTAGTTTAGCCGCTGGTTGAAATAGCCTACTAATTGCAATAATTTGTGCTACGGCGAAAGTATTATCCAATTCGGGTTGTTTTGGCGCTTATCCCACGGGGTGGCGAGACATATAATCCACCAAATCCATATTCTTGCCCGAATGTGCTCGATTTCGTAATCGAACGGTTATAGTCGATGTACCCACCGTGCTAAAGTTGTTTTAGTATTTTTCTCATCGGATAAACACCAGAGAAATGCTTTATGATCGGTGACTATCTTCAAGGGAGCTCCAAACAAGTAGTTTTGATAATGAGTTACAGACCAAACAAGAGCCAAAAGTTCCAATTCGTTTCTACTGTATTTTAGTTTGGCTTCATTTGGGAACCTAAAGGTTTACGAAATTGGTTTTCATCCATCGGAATGTACCTGTTCCAATGCGACCCCTAGGCCCTGTTCAGAAGCATCACATTTTACCTTAAAGGTTTTGTGCACGTCGAAATGATGATTTTGGACAAATTGGCTGACAATAACCTTCATCTGCTGAAATGTTTTTTCATGGGAGTCGTCCAATTCAATTTGAGAACATTTTTTTTCACAAGCTACCGAAACGGTTCCTTTTTAGCGGCAAAGTTTGGTATAAATCTGATAAATTGACCCTATTAATGGCTGAATGTCAGTGATGTTTTCCGGTTGTTTCATTTTTTACAAAAGACTCGACTTTTCGTTCGATAAGTACCCTATCTTTAGTGGACAAGCAAAATTCTAGTCACTCCATTTCTTTAACAAAGAAAGTACATTTACTCCCTTTAACCGCGGCGTTATTGGAATCAAGAACTTCCAGCGTCCGCGTGACTTCACTTCAGTGGGTTCATTGGAATTTCTGGTTGCAATTAATACGTCATCTAAGTACACATGCACCCCCGGTAAGTGTCCTAGCAAAGAATCAATTATCCGCTGTAATTCGTTGGGCATATACCAACCCGTAAAACCCCGTTTTAAACCAGTATGTTCCCGTTATTGTTCTCCCACGATGCTGAAGTTACATTGCCGGCTAATAGCTTCACTAAATTGCATTTGGGAATACCCGTTTTTTAGGTCGATTTTGGAAAACCAAATTGGATCCTCGTTATTACCGCTATTAGCCAATGCAACAATATCCACCAATTTTTTCAAAATGAAAAATTGGTGGCATTTGCGGTAAATTTGTTTTTTGAATTAACTTTGAATTTAGTGCAAGTTTCAAGGACCCATCGCTTTTAGCGCTTATGACCGTCGGTAAAATAAAACAATATTCCGTGCATTTGCCCAATTTTACGATATGACCGTCTTCTATTAGGCTTCTGATGATTTCCTCCGCCTTGGGTAATATGTGAATGGAGACCCGTTTACCTTTAACCTGAATTGAGCGCAGCGGATCATGGGAATGTGTACGAACTTCGCAATTTCTAAGCATCCCTTTTCGTTCGAATAAGTCCTTGAACCCATACGAAAAAATTTCCTTGAACCGATGCAAACTTTACAAAGTTCCGTCGTATAGGCGAGTACTGAATCCCCAAACAATCACCCTGCATCTCTACCATGTTTACTGAACCAGATGTCGATTTTGTCGGACTTCGATGCCCAACTGAGGTAACGCATTGCGGCCAATGATATCTCGCTGACCGCCAACGGCGATGAAGAATTCCACACTTTCCGCTAACCATCCCTCTGAACAAATTTCAACAAAAATGCGCCCAATTACTTTGATTGTATCTTCTGTTGCACTATAAAAAGCTTTCTTCGGGTGCATTTTTTAAAAAACCTATTCTGGATCCTGAGTTCGTGCAGATTTGATTATGATATAAAGGACACCGGACTAGCACAATCAGTTTGGAATTCATCTTTCCAACGATTCACTCCAAGTTGACCGTCTATAGCGTACGATTCTCACGGCCCGACCTATCCGACACCATCCTTATAGCGAACCTCCCGAATTCTTTTTCGGTCTTTTCTGTGTCCCACTTTTGTATTACATTCATTTCGTATTGCGTAAATTCCGAATCATCAACTTGATTAACTGCTACTTTGTTACAATGTTTAGCAAAGTATCCACGTCCACTACAGTTGTTACAAATGATGTTTCTAGCAGAGCAGTGTTCTCTATGGTTGGTTTTAACCAATTCTAGCAATTATGACCTTTGTCTTGCCGTTGGCCTTTGACGGCGTTCACGGGTTCTCGCTTTTTATACCCTGACTGTTGACTGCCCCCGGTATTCGATCAATCCCACACCCAGTATGCAATCGGCCTATCGGAAGTATAGCTCCACTGAAACGTCGTTGCTCCTCTTTTTTTTTGATGACATCCCGAGAATATTTGACAAAATCACAATTATCTTTTAAGGGCGACCTACCGGAAACTTTCGACGTGATGATTTACTTTCTGGAAACAAAAATGAATGTCAGAGATTCGTCCTAAAATCCCTCTCTGAAAGTTAACGCCAAACAGCACTCATCGCAGAGTCGCGTTTTGATGAAAAAGTTGCTAATATTGGTATTCCACAAGGGTGTTTTTTTACCTCTACTGTTTTCTATTTAATTTAGACCGATCTGAGAAGTGTTCACATGAGCAGCGCTTAAGTATCAGATTTATAACTGACCATCTACAAGTCATTGAAAAAAAAATGAACCACCAGATGCCGCTATAGCTAGGCAGGTTGATTGGATTTCCATTTGGTTTAGAACAATGGGTTTAGCGCAAAATCCTGAATGAACAGAGGTACGTGTTTTTTTTAAACCGGCGTAAAAAACCGGGTCAAAGAGAAAAGCTTTTGCGATACATCAGTTGAACTCAAGAAACGCTTGGTTTCTCTTGGAAAAAGTATAATGAAGCAAAACCTTCTCTTGAGTTTGAAAAAAACGCTGTCTGCAGCTCATGCTGGTTTCAATTACTAAAATGATACAGCATAAGAAAGTAATTTAGTGTTCATAATATACGCATGCTAGGACGAAACCTTTGCATTAGTTTGTATGCGGGCTTTCCCGATTATCAGTTGTTTTTTCAGCCTTCGAGTTTTGAAAGTTTTCGTCTATTTCTGCATGTTTTACCTTAGTTGCCAGTGAAACGCAGAAGTGGTTTTAGGCTTTTATAGTTGTTAGAAAATGTCTGTTTGAAGACAAAAATGTACCAATATATATGCGTTATGCTTATTCATCGATAAAACGCTTGTACTCCAGTCGTAACTTTTTCTAACCCAGGTTGTCGAATCAACTGCCAATTCGCGTCAAAATGGGAAATGTACAAAATTTTTCATAGAACTGCTTAAAATGGCCTTCTTAATTGAATGTTTTAACTTCAAATGGTTTCAAGTTCGTGAATAGCAAAAAAAGTGTTTTTAGATTACATAGATTTAAAAAAATCCTGAGATTTCAATTTGGAGGGACAGCATGGAAACGTATCGGAAGCTGAACAAACAAATTAGACCACTAGCAATGCACCAGTGCGTTCAGTTCTTCAGAACACAAACATTTTGCTCCGGAAAGCTTGTATTTGAAGATGTTCTTCATCCAGTGGCTTATGGCATACGATATCTGGTTCGGGATTTTTGTCATGATTTCCAGAAAATGTGATAAAATACGAACGATTGGTTTTAACTTTTTAACAAAACATTCGTTAGTCCAATATCACATGGGAGCTGGCAGTTTGATTCTAAGTTTCAACCAAAAAACGCGACAATCCAAGCTCAAAATAGAGTTCAAAATGTTAAGATAACCAAAATCAAATACAATTAAGAATTTTTCTCGCAAAAAAATTCGCTTCAAAATTGTTCAGCCATTCATGCCGACTAATCTCCGGACGAAGTTATTGCAGAAGAACGCTTACGATAATTTAAACTCAATTTAAGCTAATTCTCAACCAGTTTGCGACAAAAAGTTTTCTTGGAGAAACCCTTGGAACTTTTGAGTATCGAGAAAAAGTAAATCAAGAAGACACGATGATGGTTTAGATCTTTTTGGTCTACAATTTATAGTATAACTTAATCAATCGTTTGAAAATGGAGTGAATACTTGTCGAAGACAACTTTCTTCCTCACATTTTTCTCATAATTAGGCAATGTACATTTTTTTGGTTCATAAGGCTACTCGTCTTTTTTGTGTGTTTGCTTGCCTCAGAAATTAGAACCAGAATTTCGAAGTGCTGTATTGAAGAACTCCAAAAGCTCTGTTAAGTTCGCACATAACTTATTTGTAACTCCGCGATAGTTTTGTATGGAATGCTTCTTGTATTTTTTAACACTGATATAACTGCAAAATTAAAAGTTCTGGCTTTGAAATTTGAAAACTGTCAGTAATTTTCAGCTACAGAACTGCTTTGTGCAAATAATAAATTGTGCTTTGGAAGCAAAGCAAAACATATTAAGTTTGTATTAAATTCGTGAAAAAAGGCTCCTGCATTGTCAAATTTCGATGCGAAAACTTTTTAAGATTTATTTGGGAGGCGGCATTTTTTTCAAATGCTATGAATTTAAAACGAAAAATCAATTTTATTTGAATGTCAATTTTTTTTCAGGCTCTGCGTTCGGCAATATAATGTTCAGTTTCTTTGATGTCGTCAACGATGAAAGATACATTCGGGATTCGGAACTCGACCGAAAGATGGTTTTCTACACTTTTTGTATCGACTGGTTCTTTGCATTTTCAACTATCGGTTTCGTATTTCTGCTGCCGACTCAGAAACCGATGGCTCGAAAATGGCGCGAGGAGGGAGAGAAAACAGCCAATAAGAAGACGGCGATATGTCTCCTGCTCTTCGTGTGCTCTGGATTTGGGTTTTCTCTGGTTCTGTCGGCGTTTACATTCTTCGAAGAAACCAGATGTCTGATCATTGCAGGAGGCGCTGGATGTTGATCTATTTTGTAATCTCAACTCATAGATCTCTTGTCAAAAACTTTGTGGTTCGAAGTTTTTTAGAATTTTTTTTTCGAACAGCAGCGCTCTATGGCACAATCCCCTGATACTCTATCTCACTTAAGATTTTTTCGTTCAGCTTCAATTAAGCTTTTAGACGATTACGCGCAACAATCAAAATTTATTTCAATTGGAAACTTCGAAAACATTTACTTGTAAAAACTTGTATCATTTTCCTACAATTGCAGTATCATTTGCAACAATTATTTAGTAGTCTTCAGAAAATTTAACCAAACTAATCGATCAGCCAAAAGAGTCTCCAGTGTTGAAGTCACCAGCTGATTTATACTATTTCCCCCCTTTGTACTATATTGAGGTATCCATTTTTGGCTGACTGACCCTAAAATTTTTCTAAAGGCGTCTACTAATTGGCGCCTACTATTGTACTAATTTTGAGGGGAGAGTGCGCGCCGAAAAGACGCAATTTTTTGGTCAAATTTTTCCAAAAAGTGCCTAAAAACGCCTTTTTGACCTGTGAATTCAAAAACTTGCCTGCGGCGCAGGCAATTCAGTCAAAATGCAGTGTTTATAGTGATTTGGGAGAGCTGAGAAAATCAATTTGGTCGACTTTAAAAAAAAAGGTCGACAAAATTGTATTTCTAGTGAACTCTCTGTTGGTGACTTCACAGTAACCTACTTTCGTAACGAAAGTAAAAGAATATTTGTGCTCAGGGTGTTTTTTTCGAAAGACAAATCTCGACTTTTTAACTAGCCTTTTTTGACAGAATTTCTTTATCTCATTTAAAAAGTATTGTTGTCTTGAGCTTATATTTGAAAAAAATTTTCATCTGTGATCATTTTTCGTAAAATTATGGTTGTTTAAAAATTCCCATTTGGGCCAGTTTGGGAAAGTTAACAAGCAATATTTTTCGCGCTATAAACGCGTAGGCGGAGAATTAATCGGTTTGAAAAATAGTTCCAAATTAGCTGAAGGAAGCTTATTTGCTATATTTGATTTGTTACTAGGAGCGAAATCTATCAGTTGCTATTTTATATGGCGTGTGGGAGGATAAATTTCACAAAAAATCTCAAATTAAAAACTAATTTCGATTTATGTTATTACTTTTAAGGACCCAGGATTGGAAATTTTATGACATTTTTAAAAACTACTCGAAGGTAAAAAAAAGACTTGCCGGATTAGATAAAGCTTCTTCTATTTCGCTTCAATGCTGTTTTTTGTATTCTTAGTTTATTTTGAGATGAACAAGCGAACGAAAATTACGGTTTAGCTTTAAAGTTTTTCCCAATTATTTCTCTCTGAATATGGCTTTGTCTCAGGTTCTGTTGGCTTGTAAAAATACTGATTGTCGTGCCTGCGATTCTCACAGGATGTATGAAAAGTTTCGCAGCCTGTCTAAATATAGTCCATTTCTCTCACTTTCCTACATTCCAGACTAACTTGTTTTGTTGAGCGAAACTCTTTCTTCTTGTGCTTTAAGATTGTTTTTTTTTGGATTTCTTCTGAATTATAGATATATCTCAATGCAACGGGCATAGGCCTGCTTGCATGCGTGCCGCTTAGCCTTTGGTTGGTAGTCTGACTTTTGAACAAAGTGACGAAATGTTTGTGCTCGGGTCTTTTTTCTCCTGAGAAATTTTGACTTTCCAACTAGCAACTTTACTTTTGATGGAGTTAGTTTTTTATATCATCCGAAAGTTTTTGTTGCTCCAAGAAAATGGCGATATTTTAAAATTTTTTGACACCAGTTAGAGGCTGTCGGAGCAATTCCTGATCTAAGAGCCGCCATGTGTTGTTTTCCTGAGGACCTGGCTGTTAGACATCGCTCAACTAAAATCGATGCAATATTTGAAAAATTTGGAATAATTTATGTTTTGACTTTTGGAGAAAGTGACGGAATATTTGTCCTCGGTTTGTTCTTTTGTCCAAACAAATTTCGACTTTAATTAGACATTTTTCACAGAAGTTTTTTGTCCTAAGCTTCATTAAAAAAAAAGAAAATATTTCATATTTGATTTTTTTCGTAAAATTATGTTGGTTTAAAGATAGCCACCTTGGCTAAAGTAGGATTATCAAAGCACGATTTATTTTGTACTGTTAACGCGTGAGCGGAATTTTAATCCGTCCTAGAACTTGTTCCAAATTGAATTAAAGCCTGATATTTATTATATTTGACCCTTTGATATATCGAAAAGTATCTCTTTGTTTTTCACATAGCGTGTAGGGGGATGATTTTCAAAAAATCAAATTTGAAAAAAAAACTTTTTTTTCCGAAAGTTTCATACGCTTTTCAAAGCAATCACTTAGTAGATTTTAAAAGGGAGTCGGAACATTAAAGGCTACTGATACGAGCTGTCTGGTCTCACATTTGCAACTGAAACTTAAACTGAGGCATGCCACATTGAACTGAGTATGTACTTTAATTGCGCAAGCGAAGCGGCACGCATGCAATTCAATACAGCTCCTAATTCAACAGTTTAAAAGCTGTTTCTGATACACCGAAATAACAGGTTGAATAAGTTTAAATATTAAACGCAGTCACAACTATTTCTTGCAGATTATTTACTCAATAGATTCGAAATTTTCTGTTCAACTCCTTCGCAACGCGTTAACTATCGTTAATGCTAGTTGTTCCGACTTTCGAAGAAAACGCAACTTTCAATATCTGAGTGTTTTTTTTTTCAGTCAGTTATTGCCGATCGAAATCGTTTTCAACAAAAAATATATCTCATTGAAAATATTGACTTCCTGAGTTTAAATATAAAAAGATAATTTACCTCCGATTTTTTTTGTAAAGTACTGGGGGTTTCAAAGTAGGTAAATTGGCCATATTCTGGACAAAATTATGCGCGCTTTTAAGAATTTAATTTTAATGCTTAGAGCGTAACGCAAATAATTTATGCGTGGTTAACTATCCCGCACAACAAAAATGTTTTAAATTGAATTGAGGCTAATTGGTCGTACTAATTTTGTTCGACTCAAAATTTTGCACTCTGGTACCGTCCAAAATTTATGAGTTTTCAATATTTTCTTTTCCCAAAAATTATTCGATATGAATAAAGGAACAGTCGTAACATTCAGGGCTTTGCCCCCATATACGAGCAGTCTTCCTGAATGTTCCGACTTCCTTTTAAGGTTTTGGAGCAGTAATAACATAAAAAAATTAAATGTAATAAAACAAAATGAATTTTTTTTTCGTTCTAAAAATTGAGTTTTTTGAAAATTATCCCCCCAGACGCCATATAAAGTACAAAAAGATAAATTTCGCCCCTTGTAACAAACCAATTAGGGCAAATAAGCTTCTTTCAACCAATTTGGAACGATTTCTAAGGTTGAATCTGCGCTTACAAGTTAAAAGCGCGAAATATATCGCGCGTTAATTGTCCCTAATTGGCCAAAATAGCAATCTTTTAACCCCCATAATTTTACCAAATATGGATCACAGGTGTAATACTTTTTCGAATTTGAGCTCAAGACAACAATACCTTTTGAATGATATACAAAATGAAGTCCACCAAAAATGGCTAGTTAAAAAGTCGAAACTTGTGTGAAGAAAAAAAACCCACCCCGAGCACAAATATTCCGTCACTTTCGTTACGAAAGTCGGAACAACTAATGTTAACCTTTTCTAAGACGAATTACATTTCCGCGTATGCGTTATTAGCGCAAAATATATAGCGCGGTAATTGTCCTAAATTGGCTAGAGTGGCGAGCTGCTTTAAGCGCCCATAACTTTTTGAAAAAAGATCGATCACAAGCGTGAAATACCTTTTTAAATGTAAGCTTAGGACAAAAATACCTTTTGGCTGATATAAGAAAAATCCGTTGAAAGTACCCGTTAACAGGTTGAAATTTGTCTGGAGTAAAACTATCCCGATCAGAAATATTCCATCATTTTATTCATAAGTCGGAAAAATAAATCTAAACATGCTGAAAGAATCGAGATTCGAGCGTTTTACATGCAGCGCTTAGCAAATATTATCTGAAATAAATTCTGAGCTGGGAAGCTCTTAGATTGGTCTAACTGGGGGGAGGATGTTAACTTGATCCATAACAGGACTGTGTATCGGTCTTTTAATTTCTAAAAACGCCCATTTATACATAATACAGTTTTATAGGAAAAGAACAACGCTTTCAGAAAACAACTCTGAAAATTATGTCATCGGTTCTATTTGATCAACTCGAGTTGCTTTTCAGGATTCTTTTTCAACTTCCCATTGTATTCGCCAATAACACCGTCAGTACAGTTAGGAATTAAGACTCAGTTAACCAATGCTCATTTTCAGCTCCTCCGATTGCTTGAGTACACTCACATTCCCACAAGAACTTGTACAGCCATCAAAATCTCACTTTTAGAGAAAAGCTACGAATCACTCTATAACCAAATCATTTTTTATCTTAATCGAAAACAGTAACATGAATAACAGTGTGACTGCTAGCAGCAGAACAGAGCGCCGAATGTTTCGAATGCCCTTTAGCTGGTTTTAGGCTGATAAGATAATAATAATTTTAAGTGCTGAAATAGTCTGCTTCAGATTGAACAACCCAGTCACGTTAACATAGTGGCAGGGGTCAAGTAGGTCCGGGGATTGAGCCCCCAAATGATTCGTAAAGGCCTGAATAAAAAACTTACTCATTGTATTCATTCAACACTTCGAAAGTCGGTACATCCAGGTACCAAGTTAACGCCCTCTCCCCAAATTGCTCCTATTATTGTAGCAATAATGACAAAAAGCCTGCTTCAACCAATATGAAACGATTTATAAGACGGAATAAAGCTCCGCTTACGTGTTGATATGGCAAATTATGGCACATTAATTGTCTCGAATTGGCCATACTGGCAAAAAAATATACGATGCCCTCGTAGTTTCACCATAAAATGTAAAATATCGTTTCAAAATTGAGCTCAGGGCTTCAATTCTTACTGGCTGATATAAAAAAAATCAGTTAAGAATATAGTCTGAAGAAAAAACCACTACGATCAGAAATATTTGGTAATTTTCTTGAAAAGTCGCAACAATAAATTTAAACATAGTACTAGCCAAACATGGCTTTGTACGCATAGTTTTAGCAAGGCTGAAGTCATCAGGTGTAGTAATTGTTCTGACTTTCGAATAAAGTAAGGGAAATACTTGCTCAGGGGGATTTTCTAGACCATTTTCTTCTCAGGGGATCGATCCCTGATCCCTTGAATTTCGTGTTTTCTGACGTGCCCCACTCGTCACTGTGGTAACCTGGCTATACGG